ATCTTACACATTTTTACAAACAGTATAAATCTATTGAGCCATTTCTAAAAAAGAAGACTACACCGAAAGACGGAGAACGGGAACATTATCAATCGATCGCTGATCGCAAGAAACTTGATGGTCTTTATGAATGTATTTTGTGTGCTTGCTGCTCCACTTCGTGCCCCAGTTATTGGTGGAATTCAGATGAATATCTTGGACCAGCAGTTTTGTTGCAAGCGTATAGATGGATGATTGATTCGAGAGACGATTACGCCCAAGAACGTCGGGAAGCACTTCAAAATAAATTCTCAGTCTATCGTTGTCATACCATTATGAATTGTACGAGGACATGCCCGAAAGGGCTAAATCCTGGCCGAGCAATTGCTATGATCAAAAAGGAAATGGCATTAGAGTGAATGATGATTTTTAATTGACGTGGAAAATGATTGTTTCAATACTAGAATAGATTCGTTTATGCAATAACGAACTTAACGATAACAAAATTGTAATATTAAAATTGTATCACAAATTGACTATACAATATATCAATGCGTATCAAAAGACTATATATCGATCGATATATTAATTTTTCTATATATATTTTAAGTTTAAATTACGTATATTTAACATATGTATATTTGACTAAAAAATATATATATATGATGATAACGACTAGTGTTTTGACCCGGGTGGGTATCACCCGGGCCACTCGCGGGGTGAGTGGGTCACCCGGGTTGAATCATTAACAAAAACTCAATCAACCAATCAAATACGATCGTTCAATTAAATTTTATTATACTTTAACATTTTAATCCCGGCAATCTAAATTTCTCCCAAAATTTTACTAATAAATGGTAGCCTACGTACTAAGTAAAGCTGCCCAGATGCTGTAGTATAGTTGGCTTGTATTATTGCTTAATGCCGGCCTAGCTCCGGGCCTATTCCGACCCTAAATTTTGGTCGATCTGCTGAATTTTGGTTGCCAAAAAATTTAGTAAAATAAATTATGTAGGTGGGTCTGATATACGTACGGGGATCTTGTATACTTTTATGGTACTCGGAGCCATATACACTATAAGAGATATACATCTGAGATTCAAAATCATTTATTGTTTATGTAGTTAGTGTAGTTAGTGCATTTATAGAAAATGCATTTAAAGACTTCTTAGGTACGTACACGTTTAATGTTTACCAATGAAATTCTGCTATAGCCACATGGCTATCCTTTTTGTAGTAAACCTAATAATGATAAAAAGGTTATAAATTAAGTACGTACGGATGTACCTGTCAAAAAAAAGAAAAAAAAATGGTTTCGCCTGATGAGAAATCTGATGAGAAACCTTTTCTCCCACCACCAGCAACTTCGACATCAGCTTATTCGCATCAAAAGCAACATACTAGTTTAGTTATTTTCCTGGTTGTAGCGTTTTACTGGATTGTATCTTTAGCAGTTGTATTCTTAAACAAACTTATTCTCAGCACCTCGGAATATAAATTTCCATACCCTCTGTTCGTAACATGGTTTCAATTGGTCGTAGCGCTAATTGTCTTGTTGATTTGGGGTACTTTGGGCCGAAAGTATGTATTTTTATCTCTAAAGTATTGTGATTTGAAGGACTTGTCAAATAATAAATGAAATTCAACATATTGCAAACTAGATTCAAAATATTATCACTTATCCCGCCATATGAATTCGATTTGAGTATTGCCCGAAAGGTCGTTCCATTGACCTTTATGTATGTCATGATGCTGGCATTTAATAATTTATGTTTACAATTTGTCGAAGTTACATTCTATCAGGTTTGTAATTATTTCACATAAAGGACTTGAAAACAAAATATACTAAAATATCATTTTATAGGTCGCACGATCTCTTTCAATCCTTTTCAATATTATTTTCACATATACTCTTCTTGGTGCTAAAACATCATTCGCCGCAATAGTTTGTTGTGGTATTGTATTCATGGGATTCGTTGTTGGATCTTATTACGAAATAAACTTCTCTTGGGAAGGGATTATTTATGGTGTTGCATCTAGTGCTTTTGTAGCCTTATATGGAATTTATGTCAAAAAGACACTTGGTGTAGTTGAAAATAACCAATGGTGAGCAATCATAATTCTTATCGGATACAAATATAGCTTCTTTATATAACTTGTATATTATATTGGATTTAGGCGTCTTCTCCATTACAATACAACTTTATCGATATTTTTCCTTCTTCCATTGGTAATATTTGCGGGTGAACTAACAGAAATTATCAATGTTCACTTTTTAAATGATGTGGGTTTCTGGATATTGATGACTATCACCGGAATCACCGGTTTTATCATCAACATTGCAATATTCTTGCAAATTAAAGTCACAACACCTTTAACCAACACAATTTCTGGAACGGCAAAAAGTTGTTTTCAAACCGTACTTGCTGCTTTATATTTTCAAAATCCAATTTCTCCGATGGCAAGTTTTTATTAATATGATTTTTGATTTTGTAATTATTTGATTATGTAATTATTGATCATTTTCTATATTGTATATTCATTTAGAACGCCTTTGGTATATTTCTTTCCCTCCTTGGTTCCGGGTTATATTCGTGGGTACGATATAAGGAAATGCTTAGAAAATAGATTTATATGTAATTTCGCGTAGAAATTTATATGCGTGCCAATATATACATCCGGTGCGAGTAATCGAAAGAAACAAAAATTAATTTTTTGTGTAATTATTTTAATAAAATTTATCTTACCGATACAAAATTCGCTGTTTACTCGAAAGGTAATTGCGAATCCAGAAATGTAAATCAGGTTTGTGTGTCACCATAGCTAATTAGTATTAGTACAATCGATAAAATAAAAACTATAAATCAAATTTATAACTTTAATTGCTAATGATAATATAAAATAAATTCTAATGTATTGCATTGTTTATTTGTTTTTATAAATTATATTTTCTTCGTTGTACCAATGAAGTTAAATTCTAACTCCTGTTTCACTTCAAACTACTTCTATTTAAAGAACAATTTTTATTGAAAATTAACTGCTTACCCATTAACAACGACGATGAATCGTATCTTATAAACTTTTTTTTTTAAGTGTTTAATATTAACAAGAAACTGATTTGTTGAGTAGATAAGTCCAGAGGTCTGACTATATATCAAACCGTAAAAATGACAACGATAGGTAGCAAGTCATCGAGATCTTTGGCGAATTAATCAGTCATTATAGCGCACCAACCTGATACGCATCAGGAATGTGGGAATCTTGCGATTTACCGTTACGGGATTTTAAGAATTTACATCATAAAGTCTATAACGATAAGTTATAATGAATCTCTTGTTATAATGAAGAACAGTTTATATAAAAACCCTCTATATATAATGAACTTACTAATAGATTCACAGCCCGATCACTTCACTATAACGAGAGTGACTTGTATATTTTATTTTTTATTTTATTTTATTTTATTTTATTTTTTTACTGTACCAGAACGTCACTATACTGGCTCTTAGGCCCAGACAGATTTGAAGAGACCAATCTTTTAACCGATCTCACGATTATTCGGTCCCGGTCGCCGGTCATCGTGAATAGTTCATTAGTTAAAAAGATATCAACAAAAAGTATGTTACGTAGATAATCACTTATTTCGACTAGCGATATAATTTAAAAAAATTTTTTTCAATGCTTATTCTAACTTATATAATGTTTCGGATATATTCTAACTCAAATCTAGATCTTTTTATGGATTTATCATAAAACGCAATGGAAACCACCCCCCTTGATTTGCATCGGTGCTACTTCTACCGCTACAAGATTAAATTTTCTTCGAATTCGTCAATCGTATGTTCTTGTTTTGTTGTCCCAGTTGAACTTTAAATTGCTCATTAGCGTTAGTACTTTTGTACATATATTCTATTTATAATTTCCTATTTTATTATAAATCGCTCTGCTCTAGTCCAGCTTGGTCTGGATTGAATGAGTGTTTCGCAAAAGATCCGGATCCGGCTCGGATTCGGTTTGGTCCGGTCCGTAGGCGAACCGAGTTCGTGCCGAGGCAGGACTGTCCCAAATGGGATCTTTGCTAGGAAAATCACGCTTCGACATTTTCCGATCGGGCTAATTCGGACAAATTCAAACCAATATATCAGTATCTATTTGCATGTAAATCATTTTTGCCTTTATTGATTCAAAGTTCATTCGATAAGCTATTGAATCAATAAGTGCAAAATATGATTTACATGTAAATAAGAACCGGTATGTTGGTTTAAAATGTTCCGGATTAGCCCGATCGGAAAATGTCGGATGGTGATTTTCCTAGCAAAGATCCCAAATAAGAAAATGATAATCCCGATTATGCATATTGGTTTAGCCAATCAAATTGTAAATTTTATTATAAGAAAATATGATGTGCTAATTAGCCAATAAAATTATAAATTTTTATATAATGAAAAAAAAGTTTTATTTTTTATACTCCAAATTTATTATTTATATCTTTTTGCAGATTTAACTTTTTTTTTAAACTTTGAGCAAAGATATTTTAGTAATTATTAAGCCAAATTTGATAAATTTTTTTTTTGAATTTTATAATTTCATAGAATTTAAATAAAAAAAAGCTTATTAAATTTGGTCTAGTAGTTGTTAAGATATCTTCAAAGTTTGAAAAAAATTAAAGTATCTATTAAAATAAATTATATAAAATTTTTTTTAAACTTTGAATAAAAATATGAGTGCGTGAGAAGGAAAATAGGCAAATAAAATTTTATTCATTAATTACTATGCCAATCTTAAAGATTTAGCACTGGGGCGTGACTAATTATAGGATATGACAAATAATCATTTATAATATAATTTATGCCGTAAATGTTTATTTGTCATACTCTATGATTGGTCACACCTCAGTACCAAATCATTAAGATTGGCATAGTTAAAATTTTACTTACACATTTTTCCTCTCATGCACTCATATCTTAACAACTATCAAGTTAAATTTGATGAATTTTTTTTTTTCATTTATAAAATGACCGCATAGTGGATATTTATTAATTAAAGTTTCAGTTATACCGTAATAATTAACAGAGGGGGTTTACAGTAACATATCAATAAGAGTACAATAAGCTACATATACAACTTTAGTCATTATCTATTTAAGGGTTCTGCTCAAGAGTTTCTCACTTATTGCTATGCCTAGAACCTGCTTGTGGGTTCTTTGTTTAAACTCTCTGATTTTTAATATTAATTGTTTATTCAAACTTTAATATTTGTTTAAAACCAACCTTTAGGCTACTTTACCCGTGTAGTAGAATTCTACTAAGAGGTGTGGTTCCCACATATACCTACCTTGCCCAGATTTTTCAGTAATTTACATACTATTATCTACTCATGTCCTTGTAGAGTTTACTCAAGCCCGGTACCTGCCCTAGCT